AAACAAAGACTTATGTTAGACTCTACTAAACTAAGCATAGCTAGAGTACTATGTATTGGCAAACACTCTGGCGTCGAGGTAGTCAGCAGCTTAAGAACACTCCACAGGTAATGAGGCAATGAGCTGCAGGTGTGCAGGGAGAACCAATGAGGACGGGGCACCACCTGGTGGAAGAGGAAAGGAAACACAAAAACAGACAACACAAACTGGATTCCTGACACTGAAGAGAAGCCCATCTTTTTTTTTTTTTTACAAACATTTTTGTTTCGTACTTCAAATAATAGGCTTTATATAGTTTAACTTTAAATAGGTTTTTATTACGATTACAAGGACTTTTTAAGAGCCTGTTTTTTTATTTATTTTTACACAGTAGCCTATTGAAAACAAATTAAAATAAGTCTAACTCCTCCTAAAGAGCAAAGACATGTTTCAGATTACAAAAGTACTAGATTTTCCATTTAACCTTTGTTTTTATCTAATCTCTTATAGCTGCAGATGGGGACTACTGGCGTCTGCTGAACCCAGGCGAATATAAGGTTATCGTTTGGGCGGAGGGTTACTTCCCATCTGTGCGTCGCTGCCGCGTTGGACAGCAGCCTCATCCGACCATCTGTGACTTCACCCTCACCAAAACACCCATACAGAGGCTAAAGGAGATCCGAGCCAAAGGAGAGAAGATCCCAAAGGACCTCCAGCTGCGGCTTCGTGCTCTCAGGATGCGTAAGCTCCGTGCCAGCACCAAAGCCATCAATCGCCGCAGAGAGAATCAGCGGCAGCGAGCAAGGAGAGCTCGCTCCACCTGAGCTTGGTGGAAACCAGAGAGGACGATGGGCTGAGGAAGCCTCTGATGTGATCTGGAATAACGACTGAAACAGCTAAACGTTGCTTCCTTTTTTAATCTAAATTGTCATATAGAAGGATCAGCTGTGCCGATTAACATAAACAGCACTCCATCTGTTTAAAGTTTTTTTTCTTAACAGGAATGGGTTCCTTTGCACCCTTTTCAAACCACCTGTCTGCTTTGTCCAAAATGTGAACATTCTGGTCCTATAATTCATAACACTACAGTTAAGGTTTGTGAGTGTAATTTAAAATGTGAAATGTTTTAGGGGTGTAAAAGCTTTGGCATGGATTTACTTTAAAAAATATCCCAAAATCCTGGCTAAGAGTTGAAGAATTCAATTATTACTTTTACTGTTTTCTACACAATCTAAAATGTGAATCTCTCTGTCAGCTGGTCTGAAGTATCACATTTTATCAACTGTCTTTCAGCTTAATAAAAGCTCCCAAATAAATGTGACATTTGATGTTGGAAAGTGTCTAAATTTGTAATTGATGTTAAACAAAGCAATCCAGAAATAAAGTATCAGTGAGATGTAAAAAAAAAATGCAATGGGTGCACTTAATGAATGCTACGATGAAATCAGTTTTTTTAGCAAATGGTCAGACATTCATTTCATTTGAATCAAAATAAAGAACGCAGATATGTGATGACGTTGATGTATTAAAAATACATAAATATTTTGTTTTTTTTTCAAATGAAAAATATATATGTATTAAAAAAAATTTTTTTTTCTCGCATCCATAAGTGGAAAAATTATGGACCAATTTTATGAGAAAAATCAAGAAAAAAAACCAACATTATTTTATTTATTTATTTTTTTATCGCTTGCTTTCTCAAAGTCATGGGTTTCTGTGATGGGAAAGAAATTTACACGTGTATGTCATTCTCATATAGACGACATGATTTAAGGATCAGGACGCAGGGCGTCTGAGCAGGAGAGGAACTGGGTGCTATTTGTTGTATCAGAATGAGCAGTAGCAGCAAGGTTATGCTAAGTTTTCAGCTCAGAGCTTGTTCGAAGATGGATGCAGTCCTTTTCACATGCAAAAATGGACTACAGTTGCAGAGATTGCACCACGTTCAACATGAAGTCCAGTCGGAACTTTGGGCCTTTGTGTTGCATCCAGACTGAGGACTCGGGGCAGGAGGGGAAGAAATATGTTTTTTCTAGTGGATTTTAAATGTGCCATGGGGGCACAGTTCAAGATGTGATGTAAGGGGGACAGGCTGTGCCACAACACTGCTATAAACTGATACCTTAACAGTTAAGTTTTGGTTCTGTTCTGAAACACAAACAGTGCCTAGGTGGAAGTTGAACTGAATAAACTGATTACTTGCCTTCTTCTGCGTCCGACACAAGCTAATCAGCTTTGAACCACACCCCCACGGAAGCCCAATCAGCATCCAGAGTTCATATTAAAAGGTCTCCAATCCACAACTCTACCTGCTACCCAAAGTGCAGGCAGTGGTTGCTCTATGTCTGACTTCAATTCAGAATGGCCCGATTTAACCCACCTCCAGTCCTTCCTCCACCATTGTAGCCAAAGCTTAATCAGAGTTTCATTCTTCCCGGACTCTTACAGCGTTCCCTGTCTCATTTCAACCAGTCCGGCAAAAGACCGCCATGTTGAGCATGGTTCTGCCAGAGGTTTCTTCCCAATGGGGAGTTTTTCCTCTCCACTGTCGCTTCATGCTTGCTCATTATGGACAGGTTCTCAGCCTGTGTTATGCAAGCAGGTCTTCCATCTTCCAGCTGCCTCAGTGAAGCACTAGTATCAGCTCATACAGTCCACTGGATCTCAAGCATACCGTCTCATCAAACTGTTCTTTACTCCTGTTCATGCATATCAAACAAAATTCAGCCTAAATTCAGACTAAAGTAATTGTATAAATAAAATTCTTCTAATTATTTTTTGTCCATGCGACTTTTTCAGAATGAATTAGAAGACAACCAGACTTTCAATCAATTATTTTTAATACATTTTCAACACCTATCCAGGAGTCTTTGTCAATTCTGTTCTGTGAAGCAGGATTCTTCTAACCTGACAACAGCCAGATGCATGTCTAGCTCCACTCACATATGTGTGTGGAGCTAGTGCATCTGGCTGTTGTCAGGTTAGGATTCTTCACCATTTTCAGAACAAATATCAATCCTGGTTCATGAATGTGCACCTTGATATGTGCTTGAGAATGGCTTTGTCACCATTCAAACCCAGGTTAAACGCCTTGCAGCCTAAAGCCCACTTCTCTCATTAAACCATAAAAAAAGAAAAAGAAAAATAACAAACAGCCAGTACAGGTGTTTTATTAAATATGTGAATCAGGAAATTGTCTATATACCAAACTGAACAATTGTTGTTCTCTACTTGAAAAAACACTTTAGATTTTAAAATAGATATTTCAGTCCTAGATTCTCTTTAAAGTAACAGATTATAATTTAAAATGTTTCCAGACCTTAACTGGTTGTCAATTTTCTTTATTCAGTCCCCGCTGATTTTTAATTGGTTACCCTGACTCAAAGCGTTGTGATCAAGGAAGTATTTCGTTTACATGGACTATAGGACATCTATAGGACATAGCTCTCCTATCAAAGCATCATTGGATTGGTTGTGGTGGCAACAAATAACAAAGATGGTGCTGGCGCTGTGCGGGTAGGAGGAGTAACGTGAAAAACAGGGAGTGAAAAGTAGAGATCATCTGTTGAACTGATGAGTTCACTATAAAGTCCACTATATAGTCCCCGCTTTATAAAGTGATTGAGGGATTTATGGGTTAGGCTGGGCGTTTGGACACAGCCCTCATGTCAGACTTTATCTTCCTCGAAACATGTAAAGCCATCCTATCTTCCATTTGTCTAAGATTAAACCTTGTTTGCAGTCTAGATTTAAGCTCAAAATTACAACATTAGTCAGATTGAATTCTTACCACAGCTTCTCTGCCACATTTAGTCTATCAGAGAACTTAAAAAATGCTTTGATCTAAACCAGGGGTTTGCAAACTATTTGGCCTGTGACTCAAAAATAACAACAAAACAGACAAACATCTTAAACTACATACAGTATAACTACTCCATGATATATCTATTGAAACTTATAAAGTAAAGTAAATATATGAGTTTTTAAATAAATTTACTTTCCAATCATATTTAAAGCTATGTTAATCATATTTTTCATCATTTGATGGGACATTTGATAATGTAATTGTACATTTTACAATAATATGGTATATTTAATGTTTGAATCATGCCTTAGATAAAAATATAACATCTACTTATTTTATAGTACATTTATTAAATTTATGGAATATTCATATTTATATATTTAATATATATTTTAAGAATATATTATATATTCTGGCCTCCATATACCTCAGGGATCACATAACAAAGATTATTAAAACCATCTTGTGACTCCTCCACTTGGTGTCTCATGACCCCCAGAGGGGTCCCAATCCCCACTTCAGGAACTATTGCTCTACGTCAATACATTACAGCTCTAGTTGTATGTTTAATGAGGATAAACTACTCCAACTCATGATGCAACCTCCAACACCTTTTTGTTCAGTATTATCTTGTATTTTTCACAGTTTATCTTTCATTCAATTCTGATCAGCTCTTCTTAAAGTAAAGCATTCCGACAGCATGGTGCTGCCACCATCCTATAAGAATTGTGTGTTCAGGGTATGTTCAGAGTTACTTGTTTGCGACATAGCATGTTTCATATAGGCCAAATATTCTCTCTTTCTCTTACTCTTTCATAAGGGATGGATTTGTGGAGTTCCAGTTTGATACCTATCTTGGCTAAAATTTCCCTCACGGAAGATTTGGGTACCTGCAGCAGCTCCTGGGTTACTAAGGGTCATCTTAAGGGCTTATCTAATTAATGCTTTGATAGTCTTGTCTATCAGATCAAATGGACAACTTTGTCCTGGTTTGTTAATTCACAGATGTTCTCTAATAATACTACTGCGGTTCATCTACCTCAGGTTGCATTGTGATAAATGTTTGGTCTGTATGAAAAATTTACCAAAGGTGTTCTAATATAAAAAGGTCTAAGGAGTACAAACATTCTTCTTGGCACTTTAGAACAAAACTGTACAGGTCAACCCAAATTTAGAACAAATGAGTCTTTGTGACATTTATTATTTTCCAGTAAGATTAAACATATATGTAATAACTGCGTACAGATTTAACACAAACACTGCCTGATAGTACATTATTAGCCTGTTAGATAAGAAGAAAGAGCTTCTTTGTTTGAGTTTTTTTTATCTTTAAATCGAGGCACATTTTTTCATTTAGGACCCACTTAGTGATCTAAGTATATTTAGTAACCAACAACTAATGATCCATTGCTGGGAGGAAACAGCTGTTAAGAAACTCTTGGACAGTCAGGATCCTGCTTTTTACTTGATGTTCTTTGGCCCCTGTTTCATTTGTTTTCAAATCATCCTGCTCCTTGAAGTTCTCTAGAAAGACAAAAAATTTATTTTATATATATCATATCTCTCTCTCTCTCTCTCTCTCTCTCTC